AAATTTTGTGAATCGGCAGTTCCTCGTGCTATTTTGTGGAAGAAGAAGAAAGTTAGCATCAAATGTCAAAAGCCGTAAATTTCAGATAACGTTTGCATTGAGTTCATAAGCGTAAAAATAAACAATGCGACTGTCTTTATCATAGATTGTATATTTATATAAAAAATAACGTTATCTGAAATTTACGGCTTTTGACATTTGGTACTGTTACGTCCACGATAGATAACTATATAGAGAAATTTGAAAGTAGTGAAATCAGTGACTTACGTGAACGGTCAACAGAGTGATGATTCCGCTTTTGGGTCACTCAGCTTTTCACCGAGTTTACCCTGGGTCTCCGGAGCCTGGCGAAACGATTGATGAATCTGGCGAAAAATCAGCGGTGCTTGTTCTCCTGGCTCGGTCTCGGATGTTCCGATACTACGCGAGTTGATGCGGCCCGCGATTCAGAATTTTGATTTCGCAACGTTTGAAATATGAAGGGTAGGCAAAAGTAATTGCAACACAGTCGGATTTTACGACTAAGTATAATATTCTGAATAAGTACGCGAAAGCTACCAGAGACTAATTATGAGAAGAAAATAATTGCCTTCTCTACAAATGCGCGCGTTTTTATATGTCGCTTTGTCGCTGAGAATCGTTCTCCGATTGGTCCATGCAGTTATGGCGAGGGAAGAGATTCATTCCTTTGCATGATGTCACCTCGTCGGTGTCCTAAATGGTGTTTGGGATTCGGCTTTCATGCTCCTGTTTATGTTAGCTTATCGCACTAAGCGATAACGGTTTCTTTAGGTCGATCCGTCGATTTCAACACTCTCCAGCAGCACGCAGCATTCGGCATTTTAATTATAATGTTTTAACGCTCGCGAATATACATATGCGCACGTACTTACATCTAGTAACATAGGGATAAAATGTCTAGTGATGTCTGAAATCAGATAAGTCGGCCTCCCGGTCTATAATAATATATTATTAATGTTTTAAAATAGATCCGGACGTTACAGTACTAACTTTCTTCTTCTTCTTCTTCCATAAAATAGCACGAGGAACTGCCGATTCACAAAATTTAGTGTTAACCTCTGTTTCCATAACTTGTCATTCACTCCCGTGATGTTTAGTTTTGACACCGTGATATATAACTTGTCACAACTCTACATTTCTGGTTGCTTTCCAACAAGAGACACAAGTCGACACAAATATCATTCTATCTTTGGGTCCTATCTTTCCAGTTACGTTTTGTGTATTACACAAAACCAGTTTATTGGTTGTATATTATCTTACAAGATATTTTAGATAATATGCGACCAATAAATATAATGGTTTTGTGTACGTATGTGTCAAGATGTGTTAAGCAATCGGAAAGCACCCTTTGTTACTCACTAAATGTCGAACAAAGATAGAATGATGTTTGTGTCGACTTGTGTCTCTTGTTGGAAAGCAATCTCTGTACACTTTCCCGTCCGATAATGATATTAATCTTGAGAAATAAATTTATGGATCCTAAGAATTTTTGAACGTTGCCAACGCTTTTTTTTATCGATTTTGTCCGCTTATCCGGATTAGGGAAAAGGATTTTTTCCTGAGAAAGAACTACTTCTCATGTACAAAGTATAAAGTTGAAATATAAAAATAGGTATGTATATACTTATTAATTTACTAATTAACGCATTATATTTCTAACGATATTTGTGAGTAATTCGTATATTTAAATTTTACTAACCTGAAATTGTGCGAAGAAAGAATAGTTTATAATCTTATTGCCTACTAAACAGTAATTACCGGTAAACTCATAAATATCGTTAGAAATATAATGTACGTTAATTAGTAAATTAATAAGTGTATACGTATCTATTTTTATATTTCAACTTTATACTTTGTACACGAGAAGTAGTTCTTTTTCAGAAAAAAGTTCTTTTCTCTAATCCGCTTAGTGCGCAGACAGCAAACACCAGAATCTGATTAGGCTAGGGGATTTTTTAAAATAAAATGATTGAGTTTCACTGTTCGGTCGAATTACAAATCCGACGACTTCGCGGAAACACCTTCAATTTATCGCACAACATTGAGTTCTCATAAATCATGAAAATACTAGATGCTTGTGCTTATCATATTTCTCGGCTGTAGTGAAACTAATTCGTATTAACTCCAACTCGAAGGGTGGGATCTGATTGACCACGGTACAATTGGATATAGATTGTAATGATTGGTTCGACCTGGTAATTCACTAGATAATTCTTTGCATCGGTTGATTGTGTCCAATCGTACCGTGGTCAATCGGGACGCTAAACACCCGATATACGTCGTACGACGTATATTATACTAATATTAGCTTTAAAAGTCGGTATTCATAGACTAAATCCCGAATCACAATAGGTGTAGTAAGCTTTAAGCCTTAAGAAATTGACCAATTACAATCGATTATTCTCCTCAAATTTGACTGTGATTGGTCAATTTCTTAAGGCTTAATGCTTACTAAACCTATTGTGAATAGGGACTAAGGGGCGCCGCACACAATTGACACAACAGTAACGTAAGACGTACCGTAAAAATGGACCAATTACAATCGAGTATTCACAAAAATGGCGACCTTACGGTTCGACGATAGTCAAAGCAATTGGTCAATTCTTACGGTACTGTTATGTCAATTCGTGTGCAGCACCCCTAAGGACCAATTGTCCCAACCTCTTGGTAAGTTACCTTACAGGTAAATCGTGTGTCCGTCTCTGTCTAATTTGAAGAAAAAAAGACGTATAATTTAACTGTCAGGTAGCTTACCAAAAAGTTGGAACAATCGGTCCTGAAGGCTGGGTTATGATGGCCATAATCCGTTAACATATGCCGGAACCGTAAAAAATTGACCAATCATAGTCGAATTATAGAAGAATAATCAACTGTGATTGGTCAATATTTTACAGTTCCGGCATAAGTTAACGGATTACGGCCATTATAAACCAGCTTTTAGTCAAAGATAAGTTTTCTCATTGGACCATCGGCTATTCTTTGGGCTGCGTTCCAAAATTCTATTCGATGAGTATAGTACATTTAGTTGACCAATAAGAATAAAGATAACTAGAATTTCTTTATCATGATTGGTCAATTAAATGTACCTACTCACCGAGTAGAATTTTGGAACGCAGCCCTTAAGTTCATTTGCAGGATTCACATCGCGTTCGATGTCCGACGTACGATGTCCGATATCCAATAGGAGAACAATTTTCCAATGAAGAGTTGAATTCTCTATTAGGAAGATGTTCTCCTATTGGATATCGGACGTCGTACGTCAGACATTGGACGCAGTATGAATCCTGCAATTGTGTCTAAACCGTCTTGTAATCTACTGTACCGTTAAACTCAGCGAGACAGGTTAGCCAACGGTTTCGACAGATGGCGCTATCGGCACGTCGCGCGCGCTATAGCAAAGATTCCCGCGTATCGCAGTCCCTCTTGACATCGGCAGTAGGTGACTTCGGCACGACGGAGCGTGTATACAATACTATCGACATACGCACACATACATCCCATGCGCAACGCGCTTTGTACACACGCACACACAACGGCACGATTCAGTAGCAGTACCGTACGGCGACTAGTCACATCTCAGAGTCGGTGGTTTCGTAGTTTTTCGATGATGCCTTGGTGATAACGACATTCCCACGACACTGCAACGAGCTGCCGCCGCCGCCGCACGTCCGGATCGGTAAGTAGGCAATTGATAATACGCGCGATCGTCCACGCCCAACGGCAGATCGGTATCGCGAGAGAGGTCGACGCAGAGTGACGACAACGAGGCGTGGACGCACGGCGGCGAAGCGACGACGGCTCTAGCGACGACGTCGGCGATCAATGCGACTCGGGTGTGCCCGCTCTTTTCTCCTCGTCCTGCCTTTCTGCCGTCGCCAGCGTAATTCGCGCGGTGACTTTAGCCTACCGTGTCCTGCCGGAAGGACGCGCGCGTCGTCGTCGCCGCAGTGGGACGCATATCGCTTCACCTCGCGTTCCTCGCGCCTCTCCTGCGTGTGCGAGAGCGACGGGCGGGCTCCGACGTGAGAAGCCGCGAAGGACGAGCGAGCGGTGAGATCATCGGGAGTGAGACGACGTTGTTATCGGTGTGCTCGGCCGAGCACGTTCGACACATTGGCACGTCTGACGAAGATCGAGCTCTTCTATTACTTTCTATCACCTGTCATCATCCCCGATCGGGATTTGTGCCGCGGCTCGCTGCCGGAGTCAGCGGAGATCGCGCGACACCGACGATATCCGTCGTGTGTGTTATATATATATATATATATATATATATATATACGTGTACGTAAGCGGAATATGCCGTTTATTATATTCAGTAGGCCGCCTTTCGCACTTTTCCGCCTTCCGTCTACGCGAGTGCACACGCCCATTTCTCGCGTCTCCATTAGTAACCACCTTGTGTCTTCGCTGCTCTCCGCACGTTCCGGCGAATTTGAAAAATTGATAATTGGGTCACAACTTCGATTTCGGAGGGGGCGAGTTGGGAGCCGAGCGCAAGCGCGCATTACATCTCGTACGTGTGTGTGTGTATACGCAATTTTGTGTTTACCGCAACGGCTGAGGTGCGATATAGGGTGCACGACCGCGGAGTGATGCAAATTTAATTAAACAGAGAAGTAATGCCGTGAAATTGAAGCTTCTTGTCGTATCTCGAGGAACATCGTGACGCGTACGATACGGAAAAGTGTGCGAGGCGTGGTAAGATTCGCGATTATCGGTTTCACGGGAATCAGGAGAATTTGTTAATTAGAGCGACAGAGTGTACGACGGGGTTTCTGTCGCGCGGCGTAAGCAAAGTTGCACACGATTACACGTGTCTCGGCAGATGATTTTTTATTAGCCCTTAATAACGAAATACTGTGTTTGTAGATTTTTTCAGATACAGAATGAACATGAGGCTCGCCGTGTGCATCCTTTCTACACTGGTTCTCCAAGTGTCGGCTATAAGTAAGTATGAGAGCTTTATTCGTCCCTTGTGGTCGCTTTTGAACCGCTAAAGCTTCTGGTTACTCGCCGTGGTAAACTCTTGATCTTTTCTTTATCAGGAAATTTCTCCTTTATTGAGAAATTTTTCAGATTCTTGAATGGTGACATCAGAAGCAAGGAAATGCATGCTAGAAATTCTTACAAAGTACGTCGAAATAAAAAATTATATCCAAAAAATGATGCTTGCAATCGATTGAGCGCACTTCCAAAATACTACCAACACTTTCTTTTTGCTCTCTAACAATCAATAAATAATCGGAAAAAGTAACGTGATACGTAATCTTTTTTTCAATCTACATCTCATTATTTTGTTAATTTTATGGTTTATTTATTGATTGCTAAAGCAAAAGGAAAGTTTGGAGTATTTTAGGGATGTGCTTAAATCGATTGCAAACGTTATTCTCTTTGGATATATATCTTCTTATTCCGATATACTTCTTTGGATATATATCTTCTTATTCCGATATACTTTGTAGAAGTTTTGGGGATGCACTTCCTTGCCCTCTGATGTCATAAATCAAGATGGCCGCCGCAAGCAGTCAGGAGTCTTAAGGCATCTGTAGTGCGATTCTGTAACTCGTTATTGCAGTTAACGACAGTGTCGTTATCGTTGCGCAGCTTTTCTACAGTACGAAAAAGCTGCGCAATGATAACGAAATTGTCGTTAACTGCAATAACGAGTTAAAGAATCACACTACTGGTCCCTCGTCGCGGGACTCTCGATTGATGATGTCAGAAGCAAGAAAGCTCGTGCCCAAAAATTGTTCATAAAATGAACTTTGAGATCGATTGGACACATTTATAAAATATTTCGAAGACTTTCCGTTGCAACAATCAATAGATCACCGTAAAACTAACATGACATTCAACCTTCCTTGTCAGTCTACCTTCCCTCACGATTTTGTCCCATTAATTTTACGGCTACTCATTAATGGTTAGAGTAAAAAGGAAAATTTAAAAAAGTAAAAAGAGTAAAAAGAGTTTCTGGAAATTTTATAAATATATATTTATAAATTATTATAAATTTATAAATATTTATTATAAATTATAATATTTATAAATACTAATATTATAAATTATAATATTTATAAAGTATTTTATAGATATGTTCAATTGATCACACAAGTGTCATTTTATAGACAGAATCTTTTATTTTGATGTATTCCACAAAACTTTTGGGCACGTTTTCTCTCATTTTATAACGTCATAGATCAAGATGTTCGCGGCGAGTAGCCGAAAAAGATCTTTGTACCGCGCTATGAACTACGATAGATCCAACTATTAAACTTGTGCCTTCTGATTTTTTAATTATAGTACGTGTCCCGGATATTATAGAAGGTGAAAGAGACATTACTGAAGTTGTTATTAGTAATTCTGCTTTGTGTCACAAGTAAAACTCTCATTCACGCAAGACTCTCTTGTGTCGAACAAGTTTTGTACACAGAGATACCATTATTTCCATACAATCACACTTCTCCATGTACATACATATATGTATCTGAGTTATATGTATACTTTCATATTTTTCTGTGTGTTCACACATGCATATTTGTGTGTAGATGACACCCCATCTTTCGCCAAGGCGTACACAAAATTTTACAAAATTATTCCTCTGCGACTTTGGCTGCTTCGTTGCGCGATATGGAAAACGCTATAAACTGTAGGATTATATTAGATCCTCTCAACACTTTATCTTCATTAATTAATTATCTATGAGTGTGTTTATACGTGTATCATGAAAAACATTGATTTCTTTTCGACATTATATGTAGCTTTACGATTATTATTTTAATGTGGCATATACGCTGGGTAATTCTTAAATTAATTCACCTTTAAAAGTTGATTTATAGTGAAAAATCGCGTTAATTCTTAATTTAATTCAGACTTGAAGTTAAAAATCATTAAAATTATTCTTCATGGAGTAAGTTCATTACATCAAGTGTTTTGTAAATACATCTCTTGCCGTTTTTCTCTCTTTTTTTTTTACATTACATTTGTAAAGGCAGGTAAGATGGAACATTTTTTAAAAGTCATCAAAAAAAAGTTAAAATAATCTTTTTTTCTTTTTCAAAAAAATTTACATAAATTTTTAGTTTGGATTTTCTGTGAAGTTAACAGAAATAAAACCTAATTTTAAAATTTTCTTAGGAAAAGAAAAACAAAAAAGAAAAGTAATGGCAATTTTATATTTTCCTAAAGAGTGTCGAGAGCTATTTGACATAAAGTGCACGATTGTCACGTTATTGTGGAAACAAAAATAATCAGGGTTGGGTGTTTACGCGTAAATTGTGATAAATACGTGTAACAAACCATGTATGAGATGTCATCTGTGTAGATAAAGAATGGATGTTTAAAGGACGTATGACTTGCTCAAAAATTAATTGGAAGAAGTTAATATTTTCGTTTAATTTTTAGAATCGCGTGATATATATTTATGAACGTTGTTTTCTAGTTAGAGTTCACAAAATTCTTTAGTTACACATTCTTGGCTACAGAAAATTAATTTACAAATCGTACAACAAAATGAAAATTTCTTGCAATTTATCTCTTTTAAATATTACATTTATAATTAATATCCAAAACAGATAACAGATAACTGTATCAGAATTTAATTGCTCTTTTCTGCATATTGTAATATAATTTACAATATTTTGTATAACTTACATTGTTCACATGAAAAACGACCGTATATACATTACGTGAAAATGCGTAGACAATTCGCATAATCTTGAAGACTGCGGCACAACCCTGAAAATAATTAAGATACTCTATCTTGCCCGCATGTTCCATCTTGCCCGCTCTTCCTCTATGTCTCTTTTACTAGCTCAACTTCGCCTCGATGCTTGCGCTATATTGCTGTAAATCTAATAAATTACTTGTTTGTTAGTTCAATCGCCGCCACGGATATCTAAACAGCCACCGACAGATGAGCAATTGTTTCAAGTGAGTCAAAAGAAGATCAATGAGAACGATAAGCCGTTCCTGATCGAATGCGAAGCGGAGGGCGAACCAGCTCCAACGTATGTATTCTCTTCTTTTGTCTTTATCTTTATTATGAATGAAAATCTTCCTTTTATCTTAACTTTTCTTCTATCTTTACTTATTTTGTGTTTCGTCTCATGTCTCGTGTCATCTCGTCTCTGTTCATCTTTTACTTATATTTTTATTTTCATTTTACTTCTATTTATCCTTATGTTTTTACGTTATTCTGTACAATGCGTAATTTTTCAATACTATTAAACAATGCTCACCTACCGGCTGCACAGGACAGGGTATTACGTGATTACGTTCTGGAACGAAGTTGAATGCCGTTGAAGAGCGGAAAATGTACTTTGGCGACATTTCATTCATAAAGTTTCGTTGCACTTACGTCCGGCTTATATGCAATCCCTCTTTCTTATGTAGCCTAGAGACGTCGGCGCAGCTGTTCTTAATTAGAAAGATGACATCATAGCTTTAGGATGTATGAAATAATCATCACTGGTACCAGGACGCTTGACTAACGCTTAGGGTTGTAGGCGAGAGCAGTTTCTCATAAACCGGGTGAATTCGGAAAAAGATAAATTTGTCGAATAAATAAAGAGAATTCTGATGTCGGATTTGTCATTATTGTTCTTCGGCTGCATCGACTTCGTGTCGACTTTGCGTTCTCTTTGAATGAAACATTCGGCCGTACTTTCTATATTATTTTGAGTGAAATTTTCACTCATAAAGAAACGTTTGAGTCGTTCAAACTCTAGTAACTTTCATTCATGTAGTGTAAACTCTTCACTTTGAATCATTGAATGAATGACTTATTCTGGAAATTTAAAGTTAGATCTCTGGTACACTTTACTGTTACTGGAACAAAATAAACAATTTGTGTAATCGATTGAAATATTAGAGTATTTTCATTATCGTTTAGAGTGAATTTCTTCATTTATTCTTTGAATAAAAATCCACTCTAAGAGATTTAAAGATTATACAACAATGTCTTATGACTATGAATATGACAAAAAGTGAAAAATTCATTGTAATCGATTGAGACATTCGCTTTAATGCCCGTTTCGAAGCGTCTGTTAATTAATCTTTAAATTAAATTTAAATTTTATTTAAGTCAAATTCCACAACATTTGTTTAATTTTAACTACCGATTAAATTCCAATAGTGATTGGTTAATTCTGATTAACTCTCCTTAATATCAAATACGATTGGTCAAGTCCAATGGAATAACTAGTCAGTTAAGTTAACTGGAGGTTATGGAACTGGGCTCAGATTAAGATTTAACCAACGTTGGTAGAAATGTGCATAAGTTTGAGTTAAACATTCACTCTTGAGTTAAATATTATTCCGAGTGACCTGTATCTTTACTACCGCCACTAGTTCTGAATAAGATTTCACTTCAGGAAGTGTAGAGAATATCGAAGCGTATCTTATTACGGCTAAGAATGCAATGCTAAGAATACGTCGGGATTCCGATTTCTCATATAAATAGATTGTCGTACGCAACAGGTATTATTGGATCAAAAACGGTAAAAAGTACGAATGGACTTCGTATGACGAACGCATCGCTCAGCAGCCCGGTAGAGGTACTCTGGTGATCTCGAAACCGCAAGATGAAGATCTAGGGCAGTACCAATGTTTCGCGGAGAACGAATGGGGTATAGCCACGTCGAACTCGGTATTTGTGCGGAAGGCCGAGTTGAATTCGTTCAAAGAAGCAGATCCGGTGTCTGTGGAAGTGAACGAGGGCATACCGTGGAAGCTCACTTGCCACCCGCCCGATGGCTGGCCTAAGCCGAACGTATATTGGCTGATTCAGGATAAGAACGGTGCCATCAAGTCGATCAACAACTCGCGCATGACCCTGGACCCAGAGGGGAACCTGTTGTTCAGCAATGTGACGAGAGATGATGCTTCAGACAACTTTTACTACGTCTGTGCCGCCACGTCTGTGTTCAGGAACGAATACAAGTTAGGCAATAAGATCATTTTGAACGTGCTATCGACAGGTGCGTCCGCCAGCCAGAACAAGCACCAGCCTACGAGGCAGTATGTCAGCAGAAAGAACGAAGTCGCCCTACGCGGCAAGACGATCGAGCTGTTCTGCATATTCGGCGGCACACCGTTGCCGCAGATTATTTGGAGCAAGAACGGCGAACGGATCATTACGAATGATCGGGTCACTCAAGGGAACTACGGCAAGTCGCTCGTCATCAAACACGTCAATTTCGATGATCAGAGCACGTATTCCTGCGAGGCGTCGAACGGAGTGGGCACAGCGCAGTCGTACTCCATCAACTTACAGGTGATGGCGATACCATACTTCACCCTCGAACCGGAGATCGTGAATGCCGCGGAGGACGAGGTCGCAGTGATCAGATGTGAAGCCAGCGGAGTACCTGTACCGGAGATTAAATGGATCTACAATGGCAAGCCGTTGTCCGAGGCGCCGCCAAACAACAGGAGGAAGCTCACGTCGAATTCTATCACCATCGAGAGACTGATGAAAAATGACACGGGCAATTACGGCTGTAATGCCACCAATTCGCTGGGTTACGTTTACAAAGATGTGTACATAAATGTGCTGGCACTCGAGCCAGAGATCACGCAACCGCCCATGGACATGAACACGGTCGACGGGAAGACCATACAGATCACGTGTCGTGTCTTCGGGGCGCCCAAACCGGAAGTCAAGTGGGTCAAGAACGGACAGGAGTTGACCGGCGGTCGTTACAAGACGCTAGACTCAGGAGACTTACAGATCGAGAGTGTGACGTTCTTGGACGCGGGTACTTACACCTGCCACGCTTCCAACAAATTGGGCACGGCAGACGCGTCCGCCGACTTGTCGGTTAAAGAGCATACTAGAATCACCGATGAGCCGGAGGATTACGAAGTTGCTGCAGGAGCCACTGCCACATTCAGGTAAAATCTTCTAGAAAAAGAAACGAAGAGGTGTTTCGAGGTGTATTTTAATATACTTTAAGACGGTATAATTAGGTTATTCATTTTTTAATTGTATACAGTTGTTGCTGTAATATTAACGTAAAGCTATCACACTGACAGATTTCTGCTTTGACACATCGTTTCCACTTCTTTGAATAATCAATAAACAAGAAATCAATAACGCATATGTTTAGAAAATCTTAGTAACCTAATTACATCGCGTGTGCTAAGGCTATCGGTTAGCGTACATCTTATGGCCGTATCACACTAAGTATTAGAGATTGAAGATTGGGAGAATTAACTAATTGTGACAAAATGAGTCGAAATAAAAATTAGTCGATTCGTCAAATTCTAATCCACAATCCTTCATCTCCGATACCCGGTTTGTTACGAGTTTTACGAATACAATAGAAGAAAGACTTACAATTCCGAGAAGTCTTGATTATAATATTCCCTTATGACTTGTGTAGATGCAACGCCGTCACGGATTCCAGTCTAACTCTGACTATAGATTGGTACAGCAACGGTCAAGCGATAGAATTCGAGATGGATCCGAGGTTCATACGCAGCACCGATTATTCCTTGATGATCACGAAGACTATTGAGCTGGACTCCGGTGTCTATACATGCGTCGCGCGCACTGAACTAGATGAAGCGAGAGCACAGGCGACTCTTATCGTTCAGGACGTACCTAATGCGCCAAGACTGGACAGTAGAATTACTTGTGGGTCTCATGAGGCATCTGTTACTTGGATGCCTATGGGAGACAATAGAGCTCCCATCTTGCGCTACACTATCCAATATAACACCAGCTTTGCGCCAGATACTTGGGAGATATCCAAGGACCATGTACCGGCCACCGCTCAGAACGAAATTGTGCCTATGTCACCTTGGGCTAATTATACGTTCCGTGTTCTCGCATGGAATAAAATAGGTAAGATTTGCCGCCTTTAGAAATCAAAGAGTCATTCCGTCAGGAAAGAAGTTTCCTGAGATTCGTTTCCATGTCGATCTATGTAAACTCTGATGATTTTCACCAAATTCGGATTAAATTAAAATGTTTTTTACTCCTTTTAATAACAAAATGTCTTTTATTTTTCACGTTGACAACTTTGCCGGTTGATTTTAATCGTCAGTTAGCTTAACGAGAATTTGATGGAAGTAACTATGAATTAGAAAGTAATTTGTTATAAATTAATGAATTCTATTTTTTTACGACAGGCGTATCTCTACCATCACCGCACAGCGAGATTTGCACCACTTTACCGGATGTCCCTTACAAAAACCCTGATAATGTAATGGGTAAGGGTACAACGCCTCAGAATTTGGTGATCACATGGACGAGTATGCCACAGATAGACCACAACGCCCCTAGATTTATGTACAGAGTGTATTACAAGAGAGACATACCAGGCGAGCAATGGATTATAGTTGATATAAACGATTGGAGGAGGAACAGCTTGCAAGTGGACAATCAGCCTACTTATCAGAGATACAAGATTAAAGTCGTCGCGATCAACGAAAAAGGAGAGAGTAAAGCCGCAGCCAGTGAAGTCACCGGATACTCCGGAGAAGACCGTAAACTGTTAATTAAGCTACTTCGATGCTTCATTTTAGATCAATATAGTATTACAATATTATAGTAATAATTATAATATTGTAATACTATATATAATTAGGATTGCTGATTATGTCCGCTATCAGGCATATTCAAGTATTACTAGTTTTGCTTATAAAATTATTTTATTTCAGAACCCTTACAAGCACCTGGTAATTTTACATTGAATCAAGTGAAGTCTAGCACAAGTGCCCTGCTGTCATGGAGTCCGGTGTCGGAAGAATCGGTAAGGGGCGAATTACAAGGGTACAAAATTCAAACGTGGACAGAGAAGGAAGGTGAGAAAGGAATGCGCGAGATTGACATTCGCGGTGGAAGTGTTACGCACGCGGAGATCAACAAATTTGTGCCGTACAGCAAGAATTTCGTGAGGATACTCGCTTACAACGGCAGGTAATAAGATAGCGGATGTATATATTGCCGTGAATCTCTATATGCTTCTCGTAATCAAATGTATGGTAATAATCAGGGTTGGGAACGTTACTTTTTAAAAGTAACGCGTTACCGTTACCGTTACTTGCGGTAAAAAGTAACTCGTTACCGTTACTCGTTACTGATTCTAAAAAGTAACGCGTTACCGTTATTTGAAAAGTAACGATAAAAAAATCGTTATTTTCCGTTACTTTTGTAAAAAAAAAAAGTTAAAATCGGCATATAAAACGAATAGTAGAAGAGACAGTACATAAATTATACATATATAAAGACAAAATATAAGATATTTAAGCGGGAAGCACACATTATTGCATAACGACATAAAGCCCATTTTACATTAGTCGCAAGTCGCAAAGAAATTGACT